CCTGACACAGAGTCGAAAGTATTGAAGATTGTGAGAAAGTATAAAACTTATTAAGACAACAATACAGCATGCCAAATATACCCACAACCTATCCAAAAAAATGTAAAGAGGTAAAACAAGAACAAACTTAAACCCCAACAAAACATCCATTCAGTTTTATACCGAGTTGAGGAACTGTGGCGAGGGTTGTGAGGAGTGCTGCAGATGTAATGTTGATCAGGAAATATTCCTGCAACTCTGGAATATCATCCTGATAAAACAAACAGAAAGGCTCCAAATTAATATGATATCCTTGCAAAAACATGAACGAAATCTTCATTTTTATAAACCACAGATTTATCTTCGCGTGGTTTGTTGCACGTGTCCTTCAACCTCAAGAATACGGTCAGTCTTTACCTCCAAGATGGTGACAGGAATAGCAACAGACGTCTGACCCTCCCGAAGAATCACAGAACCAGTTTCTGCCAAGAAGTCTTTTCCTGGTTCAGCTAGAGCCCCTTCGACCTGGGAGAGGTCTTCCAGGGACCCTTTGAGAACCTCATAGGTAACATTCAGAGCACCTGAGCAAAAAAAAGGAGTTATTAGTTCAATTATATAGAAAATAGTGCTCACGGGAACCCAACTTCACAGAATCATCTCAAACAGGACAAACCAACCTGAAACGCCGAACTCCCTGTTGATGTAGATATTTATGGTTTGCTGTCGTTCCTCAGTGGTCACCTTCAGGGATGATGGCGCAACGGTCAGCAGCCCGTACGGCTCGTCGCTGGTGTCCACTGTCCACAACGCCACGGTGCCCTGAACGTCAAACGTGGCGTGGCCTGGCGCCGCAACACCTTCAACACAGAAATGGTATTCGGAATTGCCTTGCTGTTTCGTAGAATACTTTCCTTCACAAATGTACGTATCCCAACAATTCAAAATCGACTGTGCATGTGTCTTACCAAAAGTTTGGATGTTCGTCAAGAAAACGTTGTATTCAGCTCCGTCCTCTGGTGTGACATCATCAAGAAGCTGTACAACAATGGTGTCATTCAGCCGTCCCTGTAGGAGATATTAAAGAACATATTGGATATTGGCGAAACAAATAATTAAGATGCATTCATCATTATTTAATCACATCACAACAACATGACCGTCTTCTTATAAGCTATGAGCAGGGTTTTACCTCATTAAATAATAGTCTCCCTGAAGTATAAGTGAAGGTCCGGTGTACAAGGGGACCTCTTATCACCCAATCCAACGTGACATTACCGAGACCTGGAGCGGTCCTCAATACCAACAAGGTCAACGTTTCACCTAGAAAAAAAATAAAGTTAAAAATCGTCCAGTCGGTCCAAAGTAACTGTCAAAGAGTTGCAACTGGTTACACACCCTCTCTGACGATGACCGAACGGGATGCTGGATGGAATCCCACAATGCCGGCCACATTATCGTTAGCCAGAATCACAATTTGGACAGTGTCCGAACTGGGGAGGATACGACTTCCTCCACTCACACAGAGTCGAAAGTACTGAAGATTGTGAGAAAGTATAAAACTTATTCAGACAACAATACAGCATGCCAAATATACCCACAACCTATCCAAAAAATGTAAAGAGGTAAAACAAGAACAAACTTAAACCCCAACAAAACATCCATTCAGTTTTATACCGAGTTGAGGAACTGTGGCGAGGGTTGTGAGGAGTGCTGCAGATGTAATGTTGATCAGGAAATATTCCTGCAACTCTGGAATATCATCCTGATAAAACAAACAGAAAGGCTCCAAATTAATATGATATCCTTGCAAAAACATGAACGAAATCTTCATTTTTATAAACCACAGATTTATCTTCGCGTGGTTTGTTGCACGTGTCCTTCAACCTCAAGAATACGGTCAGTCTTTACCTCCAAGATGGTGACAGGAATAGCAACAGACGTCTGACCCTCCCGAAGAATCACAGAACCAGTTTCTGCCAAGAAGTCTTTTCCTGGTTCAGCTAGAGCCCCTTCGACCTGGGAGAGGTCTTCCAGGGACCCTTTGAGAACCTCATAGGTAACATTCAGAGCACCTGAGCAAAAAAAAGCAGTTATCAGTTGAATTATACAGAAAATAGTGCTCTCGGGAACCCAACTTCACAGAATCATCTCAAACAGGACAAACCAACCTGAAACGCCAAACTCCCTGTTGATGTAGATATTTATGGTTTGCTCTCGTTCCTCAGTGGTCACCTTCAGGGATGATGGAGCAATGGTCAGCAGCCCGTACGGCTCGTCGCTGGTGTCCACTGTCAACAACGCCACGGTGCCCTGAACGTCAAACGTGGCGTGGCCTGGCGCCGCAACACCTTCAACACAGAAATGGTATTCGGAATTGCCTTGCTGTTTCGTAGAATACTTTCCTTCACAAATGTACGTATCCCAACAAAAACTCCCTGTTGATGTAGATATTTATGGTTTGCTCTCGTTCCTCAGTGGTCACCTTCAGGGATGATGGAGCAATGGTCAGCAGCCCGTACGGCTCATCACTGGTGTCCACTGTCAACAACGCCACGGTGCCCTGAACGTCAAACGTGGCGTGGCCTGGCGCCGCAACACCTTCAACACAGAAATGGTATTCGGAATTGCCTTGCTGTTTCGTAGAATACTTTCCTTCACAAATGTACGTATCCCAACAATTCAAAATCGACTGTGCATGTGTCTTACCAAAAGTTTGGATGTTCGTCAAGAAAACGTTGTATTCAGCTCCGTCCTCTGGTGTGACATCATCAAGAAGCTGTACAACAATGGTGTCATTCAGCCGTCCCTGTAGGAGATATTAAAGAACATATTGGATATTGGCGAAACAAATAATTAAGATGCATTCATCATTATTTAATCATATCACAACAACATGACCGTCTTCTTATAAGCTATGAGCAGTGTTTTACCTCATTAAATAATAGTCTCCCTGAAGTATAAGTGAAGGTCCGGTCTACAAGGGGACCTCTTATCACCCAATCCAACGTGACATTACCGAGACCTGGAGCGGTCCTCAATACCAACAAGGTCAACGTTTCACCTAGAAAAAAAATAAAGTTAAAAATCGTCCAGTCGGTCCAAAGTAACTGTCAAAGAGTTGCAACTGGTTACACACCCTCTCTGACGATGACCGAACGGGATGCTGGATGGAATCCCACAATGCCGGCCACATTATCGTTAGCCAGAATCACAATTTGGACAGTGTTCGAACTGGGGAGGATACGACTTCCTCCCTCCGTATTTACAAGGCCAATCATGAGGCTCTCGTTGTCTTCTGGCTCAATATCGTCTCTGATGACAATGTCTATCGTCTTCTTGAGATCACCTGCAGACATGTTCCAAAAGGAGTGGTTTCAAACTAAATGATTTGTCTTGACTTGCAATACGCTCAAGACAATTCTCGTAGCATATAATTGCAAATTAACAAGTGACACCCTACCGTCAAAAACCAGAGTTCCTCCGGTTCCAGTGAAGTCTCTACCTGGCGTGGCATTTCCTCCGACAAATCTCCACTCCACAGTGACTGTCCCCGAGTTGCCTCCTCTCCTTTCAATGACCAAAGGAACTGCCACTACAGGTTCTTCATGAACCTCAACATAAAGCCCGTTATTGGTAGCATTGGAACTGGCGCTGTATATCAAAAACACGCCAAATGCATCCCCGTTCAACCCGATGGTGACCACTGCTTTATCTGGCTGGCCAATAGAGGGCAGGTTCCTCTGGTCTGCGGTCAAATTCATCAGCTCCACCTTGAAATGACATGAGGCAAGAAATTTGTTATCGTGTGTATGAGGTTATGCAACATTGAATATATTAGGTCAAAAACTCAACCGAACCGTTAATAGCATGATGCAAAATACCTTTAAGATCTGTATGGCAAAGCTTTCGTCCATTTCAGGGAATTTATCTGTCAAAATGAGTACAGTGAGGTTTGCTTCCCCTGAGCCGTCCTCCATGAAGGCACTTTCAGCTGTGACAGGGATGTAGTCGCTCCCCGCTGAGGCCTGACTGCTGAACAAGACAGCAGCAGCACTCACGTTTTTCACATAAGTTATGACCTGAGACGTTGCTTCAAGTTCGGCCGCCCCTGAAGACACCCAAGTACAGGAAGGTTTGATTGTGTTTGAAGATAGGGAGAAGGCTTGGCAGGCACGCTCTCTCAGGCATGCGGCAGCACAGGCGGCCAATGAGTCAGTCAGAGCGGTGATGTTAAATGACCCTTGAGGGGGAGTGACTGGAAGCCCTGGTTTTGGCATGTCAAAGAAGGTCAGCAGGTTCCGGCCCTCAGCCTGAGCTGAGTCGACCGGGTCGATCTGTGAGGTGCCGTACAGGATTCGCAAACGGCCAAAGTGCCCGTCACTGAAATTCAAGCAACGGGATGATTACGAAGGTAACAGAAAAAGCAAACATGTTTCGGTTATTGCAGGTACCTTCTTTGGACGGTGATATTGGCTCTGAAGACTCCTTCCAGTGGCTCCTGGATGCGGTAAACAGACTGCCCAAAATAAACTGTCCCGTATGGATTGTCGTTGGCAGGCACTTTAATATGTACAAACCTATCGGCTCCGAGGTTTCCACCATTACTGGCACTGGTGAGTTCTATCTTTATGATCTAACAGAGGCAGAATATAAAACGTTTTATTACTTGAGTGGGGGTAATTATTTGTATAAGATTTGATTTGGGTATTTTTTTGTTTTGACCTCAGTGATTTCAGGAACTTCATCCGCTAAGACCTCCACTCGGAGAGTCTTCCTGGTCTCTGCTGGAGCAAAGGTCAGCTCTCCCGATGTGGGTCTGATGTCCCCCACTGCCAGCTTACCATTGACAGTGGCCTGCCATTGGACAACCACTGTCCCAATAGTACCGGCATTACGTACTATTGGCAGTGCAACTTCATTGGAGTTGGACGCTGGTTCCTCTACGGTGACGGAAGCAGCATGGAAGACTGGACATGACAAGAAATAGTTAGAAACTCTGTAGCCACACATACAAATAGTGTCAGATGTGGAAAAACCTAACCAAAGGCACCAAAAGGGTCATCAGAAGGCAAAATGGTGATCATGGCACGTGTGAGCTCTCCAAGCAGAGCTCCTCCGGTAGTCTGATTGATCAACTCGACAACGAGAGTCTCCTCCAACTCCGGGACCACATCGTTAATTACATAAATGGGTACCGATTTGCTGGATTCTCCTTCAAGAAGGACGACATCAGTGGAGGCGACGCTGTAATCTTCGCCTGCAGGAAACACGTATATGCAAATGAAGGGTGGTGACAATAGATGGTGATAGCTCATCCTGCTGCCCAGTAACTTACTGACTCTGGCCGTCAACGGTACGGCTCTGAACTTGACTGATACGTCCGCAAATATCCCCCCAACACGTGTGACGTTTATGATAGGGCCAACATAGTCTTCAGCCACACTGACAGCAGAAGCTGACAGCTGAAGGACGCCAAAGGCATCATCGCTGGCCTCCACTATCACCTGGGCTACAATTTCCATTCTTTGGCCAAGTGAGGGGGAGTTGGAAACTGCAAAGAAACATGAAGAGAAAGTTTAATTGTGCTTGTTTTTTTCTTTCTCCAGTGATATTGTCACTTACTGGGCCTCTCTTGCCCTCCTTCAACGAGTTGAACGTTGATCAACTGGACAAACACAGACTCGTCTCTCTCTGGATCGTCATCATCCAACACTCTGACAGTGATGTTGGCTTCGCTTTGATTAGCCAAGAAAACAACTGAATCTAGCAGGGGAACGAAGTCTTGAACTTCTGTGGCTCGGCCCACTCCGGGTGTCCTGTAAGGTGCCGGATCTGCTTCCTTTAGTGTCCTGAATGTGACTCGCACCTTGGTAAATGTGAAGAAAATGACACAGGGAGTCAAAAAGTAAACGTTGTTTCAGAACAGTCACAAAAACAATACAGACCATTCCCAACAAGCCTTTCTGTCGCAGTATGCTGAGGGTAACAGCTGAGTCACCCTCCGGGAGGCGGACAGGCCTTGCGGTGTTGGAGAACACAAAAACACCATAAGGGTGGTCACTGGCGAGCACAGTCAGAGTGGCAGAGGTCTTGACACCCAGACGGCCATGCGACACATTAACCAAAGACACGGTAAAATTCCTGTCCAACTCTGGGACCTCATCCTGGGCCACAGTGATGATGATGTTCTCTGACGTCTGCCCGATAACAAAGAAGAAGGTACCAGACTGGTT